TCCGAAGTATTTTTGAGTCAAATATTTTGACAATGCTGTTATGACAAGCTAGGGAAGCTCACGGGAGGAATTGTTGTCAAGTTTAGACTGGTGCGCTGTTGTCAAAATGAACGAGAATTGACATAAAGGGGTACCAAAAAGTAAAATATAGAATGTATAGGTATGTATATTATCATACGCTGTGTCTATTGTTAGGCTAACGTGAACACAATTTAATTTTTACTCTTACGCTAATTTTAAGATTTTGTTATGATAAAACTTTTTACCCGGTTATTCTTCTGGGATCTTAATTATTCTTGAAAAAAAAATCAACTGGTACCTATTCTTAATCCAAATTTAAAAAAATAAATTGGTTTGGCGCTATGAATTACCGATTCATTCCAGGTGCATTTCTATTGGATTTAGCCAATAGACATGGATTGGTATATTCCAATTTAAGCCGCTTACTTTATTACTCCAATTCTAACTTACCAATAGGAATGCAACTGAAATGAATTGGTGATTCATAGCGCCAAAACACATTTCAAACCAATAATTATTTTTTTATTGGATTCTATCGGTCATCTACATTAAGTTAAGGCAAACAAAATTAGGTACAAATTTACCCGGACAACATTCGTGATATTCATACGAACATCATGTCGTGATTTTCACAAATTTTATTCATACTGATATCATACGGAAGTCACCGCGTGATAAATGAAAATCATACGAACGTCACGTCGTGATTTTCACAAATTTTATTCATACGGACATCATCCGGATGTCACTGCGTGAAAAATGAAAATCATGTCGTGATTTTTTATGCCATCGCTGTTTGCGATTGACCGATGGCACAAAAAATCATGTCGTGATTTTTTATGCCAACGGTGTTTGGATAATCATTTTTGCGCTACGTTCGTACACTAAGAGAAAAATTATGTTGAATCAACAGTTTTTGAGGTTAAATATATTCAATATTTTCTTGGATTTAAATTAACTATATATAGTTAATTTAAATCCAAGAAAATATTGAATGTTAAACTGTTGATTCAATTGTTAACATACATTTTTTTTCAATGTACGAATGTGTCGCAAAAATGAATATCCAGACACCGATGGCATAAAAAATCATGTCGTGATTTTTTATGCCATCGGTGTTTGGATATTTATTTTTGCGCCACATTCTTACATTGAGAGAAAAAGTATACCTACATATATATTGAATCAACAGTTTTTGTGGTTAAATACATTCAATATTTTTTGGATTAAAATTATTAGTTAATTTACATCCAAGAAAATATTAAATGTATTTGACCGCAAAAACTGGTAATTCAATTGTTAACATACTTTTTCTTTCAATGTACGAATGTGGCGCAAAAATAAATATCCAAAAATGTCGGTGCACCGATGGCATAAAAAATCATGTTGTGATTTTTTTGCCCAAACACCGATAGCATAAAAAATCATCCCAGTAAACACACTAGTCCGGCCATGCAATGGCACATTAATGGGCCATTGCATTATGTAATGGCCCAGTAATGTGCCGTTGCATGGCCGGAATAGTGTGTTTACTGGGATGTCGTGATTTTTTAGGCCATCGGTCAATCGCAAACAGTGATGGCACAAAAAATCATGACATGATTTTCATTTCTCACGCAGTGACATCCGGATGATGTCCGTATGAATAAAATTTGTGAAAATCACGACGTGACGTTCGTATGATTTTTATTTATCACGCGGTGACTTCTGTATGATATAAGTATGAATAAAATTTGTTCGTATGAATATCAAGAATATTGTCCGGGTTCAATTAAAAAAGATATTCCAATGTTTAACAAAACGTTCAGGTTTTGTTAAACATTGGAATATCTTTTTTAATTGAACCCGGACAACATTCGTGATATTCAAACAACGTTTTATAAATTATAACGGTGTAATGTGAATAACAAACTAGGTTTTAAATTCGCAGTTCGCAGGGCTCATATCACTGTGATGAAGCATGTGTATGTACTCAGGATATCACAGCGTGATAAAAAAAATCACGTTGTGATATCATCATGACTTCACCAGGAAATCCCGATTGTTGTCCGGGTAGGTAGAAAATTTGTCAAGCAATGCGCTTGAGGAAGCGTACATGTGGCAAACAGATTAGCCAGGGAAATTCCACCCAGAGGTAAACGAAGAGGGTTTTTGAAAAGGAGAAATGAGGCAGAAGCGTTTTGAACTGCGTACTGTACAGATCGTTTTCTTTGGTAAAATTGTCAAATCAAATTATTGTTCTAAAATCATTGTTAAAAGTGTTGTTAGTGTATTCTACAAGGTTAGTTCTAAATATTTAATCTATCTAAATGTGTAGTAAAATTAACTAAACGTAATATTGTGCATTTTTAAATTGTTAATATTATTATTATATGATTATAATAAATTGCTATTATTAGTATATTTATCCTTTACTATTACGTTTAGCTGTATTTTACATTATTTTTAACCCGTTTCTTTTAGCTGTTACCACCCCTATTTTCGCTTTTACTAGTAACAGCTGTTATCACTATAATTTTAATAATTTTCTATGCTCAATGCTTGTACCTACTGCTCAAATGTAACATTGTAATTTGTTTTGTGCTTAACCCAACATTTTGTACCTTTTCTATAACGTGGTTAAGCATTCCCTTGTGGAAATTTTTTCTCTGAGAAAGTCTTACTTTCTCTGAAAAAGTCTGAATAATACTTATTAAGTCGGAAAAAGTCAGAATAAGACTTATTAAGTCGGAAAAAGTCTGAATAAGTCTTATTAAGTCAGACTAATAGCAAGATTTGGGAGTCTTCTGGAAGAGTTAATAAGACTTTTTAAGACTTAATAAGACTTTTAGTAGAGAAATGGTAGGTTCCTATGGCGATAAAAATAAATATCCGAAATAATTCATAGAGATTGTAAGTATTTGGTTATAGTAAAATAAAACACATAGACAAGTATTTATTAACATTTTTGCTGTTGTTATAAGCCAAGTTTATTGCATAATTACCTATATATATATACTTAGTATACCTATATATATATACTAGTATACTAACATAGGTAAGAATCTTACCGTAATTATAACAATTATAATTTTATACATACGATGCGCTTAACATGCTTTCATTGTTTCCAACATAGAAAAAGGAGTTAATATCAAGTCTATAGACATGATATTTTCGATAGACTTATAAGACAAATATGGTTGATCTTCGTGTTTCATTCATCTTTGTATCATGGTTGATCTTCGTGTTTACGTACAGTGTTGCCATAAAAGTTCCTGACCATAAATTACAAAATACTAAAATAATAATAAAAATGTAACAAGATAGAATAAAATAATTGTGCATATTTAGTAAATATACAATATTATTTACTAAAAATTTCTTTTGTTATTATTTTGATAGAAATTTGCAAATCACCCGCAAATATTATGAAAATACCCGATTTTCGAGTAAAATACTTGCAAACGGCAACACTGTGTCCCACTGACAGGTCAGCTGTGCTCTAATTGGTCAGCTAGCTAAGCTGGTCTCTCGATATTACGTCTTACGTCTATTGTTTGTGACAATGTTTAGATAGGTAAATATTTGCGTGTATCAAAAGAAACTATTAAAATAAAACGTACAGTGGCAAACCCTTTTTCTATTGTGGAAGCATGCATGTCAAGCGCATCGTATGTATAAAATTATAATTGTTATACCTAATTATTACATCTTACCTATGTTATTATATAGGTAATTATGCAATAAACTTGGCTTATAACAACAGCAAAAATGTTAATAAATACTTTTCTATGTGTTTTATTTTACGATAACCAAATACAACCTCTATGAATTATTTCGGATATTTATTTTTATCTCCGTAGGTACCTACCATTTCTCTACTAAAAGTCTTATTAAGTCTTAAAAAGTCTTATTAACTCTTCCAGAAGACTCCCAAATCTTGCTATTAGTCTGACTTAATAAGACTTATTCAGACTTTTTCCGACTTAATAAGTCTTATTCTGACTTTTTCCGACTTAATAAGTATTATTCAGACTTTTTCAGAGAAAGTAAGACTTTCTCAGAGAAAAAATTTCCACAAGGGTTGTTTTATGATCAGTCTAAATTTATTGATGTATTACGAAATTACTCGGTGCTTAAACAGGAGTGCTGACCGTTATTGTTCAACTTTGAGTACTCTTTGTTTGTGTGCGTGGGCCTTTGTTGTATGAACTAATATTTTCTCCCGTGAGGGGAACAGGTTGTCCTAGGTTCTCTAGGACTGCATCGCTTTTCCCCGACCTCTCAACTAAAATAGGCGGGTTGCCTCCCTTTGTGGACCTCGTTACATTCTGGGCATAGCCCGGCTAACACCAATATTCTTCAGTTTTAAATCTTTGTTAATTAAGTATCGAGCCATATCGCCAATACATTAATTTTAAAGTACAATGCCTGACCGCGTATTCCTTCGCTACTTCATAGCCGACCAGGGTTTTTTTAGGCTTGTTTGTAAACGTTAACTTAAATTAAATTAAGGTAAACTAAGCCACTGTATTTTATTTCTTATAAACCTAGTTCTCCCACGTATCATTCTTAAAGCAATGCATTTAATAAAACAAATAAACACAACGTAGAGGTCCAAATTTGGGTAAGATCACGAGCCAAAGCCACAAAATATTTAATTTATCCATTTTTCATAAACCTTGTTTTAAACGAACCTGGGGTAAAGAGAAATCTTTACAGTATTGAGCCTGATTTATAGATTGCCTTCTTTCCTTCCTCCCGTAAAAGATTAACAGTACGAAAATCGTAGTGACATTTAAAGATTCCCGTTAAATGCATTAATATGTAGTGAAAATTGCAAGTCAACATCTTTTGTAGTTTTTGTTTAAATTAATTTATGGAATTTTATTCTGATCAAGGAAGGAATCAAAGTTTTTCAGAAAATCACCTAATTGTTAGAGAACTAGGACAACAGCCTTTGATGGATGAATTTTTTATAATAACCGACAAGGATGTGAGTATTTTATTATTTATTGTACAAAGTTAGTTATGGCATTTATATAACCCAAAACAGTTATAGAAATACAACAATAGAGGTCAAAAATCTAATAAATATTTTTCAACAATATAATATTAATAAACATAAATCTGATATTAGCTACTTAACTACTAAATGGAAGTACAGATTATATAAAATATACATTATATACAAAAATATACCATAGACAAAATATAAAGGCCCTTTCTAAATTCAATAGGAATGACTTAAATTGGATTTTAATTAATACTTTTTTATAAAGTACAGGCAATTAGTTTTAGTTTACAAAAATAATTTGGTTTCATTAATAAATTAATTTGGATTAATTATTATGTACAATTATTATTGTAAGTCTAAGTAGTAAACATTTAACAAATTATTTTTCAGGAGAATATTCAATTTCATCACTAATTACAGGCATCTTTTTCTTTATCCTATTTTGTGTAGCGCTACCAATTACCTCCATCCACCTGTTATAAGTATATTCAGACTCAGCTCTAAAGAAGTACACGTGATTTTTGTACTGCAATTTAAAAACAAAGTCTTTTGCGATTTGGTCCTCTGGCAAAGGGGGCCCCACTGCATAACCCAACAAAGGCAATGACGCCAATGGAAATTCGTCAAGGCAACCTTTGTAGAAAAACAAACAAAATGATGTAAACACTACCCATAACTTTTGCCAACCATTGCTGCTTTTAAATTTTCTTAAAAGATATCCTGAGAGTTGGTTCTAAAATTAAAATAAGTTAAGTAAAAACATGATGTTAAGTTTTTCACAAATATTACCTCCACTGCCAATAGTTCATCCTTCATACTAATACTAGTACTTCTATGCCAACATACATGTACTGTAGTATTACTTCTTTGGACTTGCGGTTTGGTTTGGGTGCTAACTTCGTTACTGCTTTGGTCTATATGTTCATCTGAGGAACTGCAACTCTTGAGACTAAGATAATTAACTTTCGTATCAGTTTTATCTTTAGCTTGTTGAATAGCATTCTGTAAATCGTTTTTCCATCTTTGTTTTTCTTCTGGAGAATTAGCTGCCACAGTGAGTGCCCTGTTTCCACCATAAATTACAAGACCATTAATGGACAGTTCCCCTTCTGGTTCTTCTATAAGAACTCCTCTTAAAGGCATATGCCCATGAACTTTGAACTGCAAAGTTGCCTGGGATCTTGATGTATATAGAAGAATATCAGAAAACTAAAAGGTGAATAAGTATTTATTAAATTTTGATTTTATTTGTATAAAAATATTATTACCAAAAAGAACATTCTTTGTTGATATCCTTTTCTGGAATGCTTCAGAAGACAGCCATGCCTAATAAATTTTCTACCAGGCTGTATTAAATTATCAAATCCTATAATGTCCCTCTGCAATTCGCATAAAGTGGCCAAATTTTCAGAATGCTCTAAAGTTTCAGTGACAGGAATCATAAGTTCTTTAAGAGTATCACTTGCTGTTAAACAATTAGGTCTATCTGGATGGTTTGGTCCATAATGTTTTAGAAGCCCTAAATATATTAACTTATTGTAGACATAAATTAGACAATGGTAATAGTATTACTTACTTTGTAATAAGGCTTGATATTGTAATAGTCTGTGTAAAGGTTTGAGAACAAAAGTTGTTATGGGTAAATAACAAACTTTTTGAGTCTCGAAATCTCTGTAAAGCTGCTCAAATCGAGTATTTTGTTTAAATGATGCATCGAGACGTTCGAGTAATGACAAATGTTCGTCTAAATAAACTTCGTATATCTGAAATAAACACAAATTCAGTACCTATTTTTTAATGAACATTTTATACTATTAAATAAAATGTTATATTAGGTACCCACTCGGAAAAGTTCTCGGCGATTTTGTTAAATGACAACGTAATCGCATATATTTGCGATTATAAGTAGTTATAAGATTATAAGTGGTTATAAACATATTGTCTAAAGGGGGGTGAAACTAATATAGGAATATGCGCAACAAGCGCCTCCCGAGCAACGTTGCCATATTTTCTTTTTGTGGCTAAAGTCATCTTTTTTAATAATTATTTTAATTGTCAGTTTTGACATCTGTCAACAATAGAAAGAATATTGATAACGGTAAAGATCTATTTCTAAGCTTTTAAGTATTTTTTGAGTTTTTTCATCTGTATTGGTTTCCAGTTACAGTAAGTATATACAATAAATAAGTTGCTTTTATAATGTTTTTTTGGAGATTGACATACCTATTAAATAATTAATTTGTATGTAATTTATTACGATTAGTTTTTTTGCAAAAACCAATACTACTTAATAATATTGGGACATTTGCTTTAATAGGGACTATTGTTGTTTAAAAGTAATTTCCAGCGTACTGTCCCCGGTGGAAGAAGTTATTGAAATTTTTACTATTGTTAAAAAATGTAATGCATTAATGGACATCAAAATTTTTTTAATACATGTATGGTTTTTTGGGCCAAAACCGATGCAGGAGGGAAGTTTTATACCTTCTTTCACTTCTGAACCCATTCAAAATACAGATGCACTTTGTATATTCTTTAATTTATTTTATTGTTAAAATTAGTGTATTATAACCATTTACTTTTTAAAATAAATAAATCTTTGCTACTATTTTATTTTATTGGTCAAATTTAAATAAATTAATATTATAATTATTAATATATACAAAATAGATAAAGCCGGCCCTGTAGTATAAAAGTTAATAAAATATTTGGAGTACGGCCCTAATTGGCAGGCGTTTATGACATTTGTGTTTCTTAAGTTTAACACAGTGGTCGCCCTTCTTTTATTCTTTTTCTATGGTTATACCTACTTCAGTGATTTAAAAAGTAAACATGTCAGATTATTTTTACAAAAAAAAATGTTTATTCAGTTAAAAAATGAGTAAAAAGAAGGGAAAATGCAAATCATTGTTTTACAAATTTTGATGTTAAATGCACCCAACTCTGGTGGACCAATCACTGAGAATCACGGAAAAATACCCCCAACCTTGAACCATCAAACTATCATTTGTTTCTGTCTTAGCAAAATGAATTTGTTCAGTTTTTGGCTCAGAAACAACAGAAAAACTTAACCAATAAATTAATATCTCTACCCACAGGCTTATAAAGACCATGGCTCTACCCAAAAAAAAGCAAAATGTCATCAGTCAAAATGCAGCATATTTAGTGTAATGAAGATAATTTAAATTTTCGTAAAAATGGGCTTTTTGGATTACTCAATCATATTATTTAAATTAAATCGATAGTTATTTTTATATATAAATATATTTACCGGTAATATAGGTGGTAAATGGGTAAGGAGAACATCGGCAATTTTTCCTGTCGAAGTTGCCTTTGGTCCTCCCCTACCATCCCAGTTCAACAAGCTTTGCTCTAAATCTTTAACTAGAAGATTGTGAGCTCTTGCTAACTTTCCTATAAGGTCGAATAAATTCGAACATTCTTCCGACTCTTCCTTTCCAACTTCGTCTTTAAACCACTAGAGAAAAAACCAAAGGTATTACTAAGAATTATATAGATTTTAAATAAATACATACCACATCTATAACCTCAAGATCTTTCTTGTAAGTCATCTCAGTCATTAGAATTTCCTTAGCAATAAAATATGTCTTATCAGACATTCTAGGCTTTTTCCTAACCTCACCCTCTATTTCTGCAATAATGGTCGTAGTATTCATACCATTTGGTGTTGTATTTGCATTAATACTATTCATAAGTTGTTCTTTTGCAAGGTTTCTAATAGGACTTTGGTCGATTTTATTTGTGGTATATTCACCATTAGTGGCATTCATAGAAACGTCTGATATATTGCCATTTAATTTTTTCACGTTCGGAGTGGATGTATAAAAATTATTATTTTCTATGTAAGTATCGTTTCCATTCTTCTTGTCAAGCATTTCTTTTTCATCTGAAAATATACTTAGATAAGTATGCTGTTTTAAAAATAATAAATTATTAAAAAGGAAAAAGATTAAAAAATCATAAAATGAAAGGATTAATAAAACCTAATTAAAAACAATACGAAAACATTGTCATGCAACATTAATCTCACCTTAGTTCCGTTTTATGCATGTTAGTAATGGAAACTTTTCAAAGAAATAAAAGTTTTTAAGCAAATTAAATGGTTTATTGTTAGTGAAGTAAAATATACAACTTCCCTATATCGTTTCAATGGGATTAACTGATTGTACATGGCTTGAAGTATGTACATAATTTAACAAACAACATGGTAAAATGTATTAAAATTAATTGAAAATCAATAATTAAAAAAACTTGGTACCATGATATTTTGTTACGCCATATGGAGTACTGAAATGCATAATACCAAGAGAAATGAGTTTCTTTATATGACACTATAACTAACACTGGAGTATTATATGTAGGTATCAACAATTTTACAATTAGGTATCACAAAAACAAAAGGGTATCCAGAATAAAGGGTTCGAAAATTGTTATTGACTACAATTTATATTTTTTAGACTTATATATTATTCAATTGCTTCATCCCTTACTTTATTAGGCCTAACATTCGATAGAGTAATAAAAAATATATACATGGAAATTAATTAATATATAAATATTTAAAAAATAACAACAAAAATAATAAACTAGTTTTGATTATTAAGCTTTTTAAACCTAATAGTTATAAAAAGTAACGATTAGACCACATTAATAAAAAAACATATTACTTACGATAACAAATAAACTCGATTTAACATATGTTATGAGTTATAACTTACAACTGTCACACTACTAGAAATAATTGAACAATATTTTTTTTTAATTATTTGTTTGATTTTGGTTTTCAAAAGTCATAACAGTTTATTTACATTTATGATATTTTCAGTCTTCATAGCTTGCACATACACTTATACTGATTGCAAAACGTTTAAAACCACACCATCATCGGATGATTAACTTTTAGTAAGTATAGGTACATTTATGTTAAAGTAATTATAAGTTTAACATATGTTTATTTCATTGAAAATCTTATTTGACAAAACCAGGCTTGGATGATTAAAGTTGTTATTATGTAGTTATTTACCCTCAACCAATGATTGCATGGTTTAGTGTGTTAGTAAGAGTGAAGACAGAAGTGAGATTTGTAAATGTTAATAGTATTTGTTGTTATCAGAGACCAATCGCAAAATTTGGCATAAACCATTTTGGCACATCGCTTAGTCTTTACAATTTATATTTTTTAATTCCTTATAAAAAAATGTATACATCTAGATAAATTTTAATAATTGCAGTGCAACTTTAAATCTTGTAGATGTTTGGCAAATATGAGCAAATAAGTTTGGTTGTGTCTTTAAAACAGTGCACGAATTTATAGTTAATTCGTCGTTTGTATTGTGTTTAATATTGTTATAATAATTGTTAATATAAAGGCCGTCTTAAATTTATCAACTAAGTAACATTTTACACTAAGAAAATCAGCCTGAATGACTTTGGCATGAGCACAGCCAAAAATTTATAAATCAAAGACAGCCTAATATTTTCGAAAACACCGATAAATAGTAAAATTTTTGGTATATATTTTAAAATGTGTACTAATAATAATATTTATAATAGCTGTTTTCGCGGAGCTAATCCCGAACTGGTTCAGGATTAAAAAGGGAAAAGATATTTGCGCATGGCGTTTTAGAAATTAATTCAAGTTTTTCCATCCGCTAACGCATAAATTGTGATAACCTATAGGTTAATAAATAAAAATAAAAATAAATAAAAATAAATAAAAAACATGTTGGTTGATCTTACATTATCACGCTCAATTGTTGGTGAAGGCATATATGTATATAATACTGCTATTTTGCTACTAGCAATATAGGAGTAATTTGCTAGCACCCGTGTGCTGGAAGTGTTTGTTTATAGTACTTTGAGTCGTATGCAAGATACATACACCTTAAGATAGGATGGTGCGCATGTTGGGCGGAGCTTAAATACGTCACTTGATGAGTGTTTTTAAATCTTTAACGTGCTTTTTAATTATCTGCTTCTAAAATTCTTGTTTTTGCGATGCTTTTGGATGTTAACTTGCTCTATTTTTTGTTTAACTTGTTGTTTTTGTGTTCGGTAAGGTTCGAATTACTTTTCAGTGTTCAAATTATTGTTATTGCGTTGTGTTAACCTGTTCTGTTTGTTTAATATTCTTTTTGTGTTGCGTTAACTTGTTTTGTTTGTGTTTTAGATTGTGTAGTCCATTTGCATTTATTAAAATGTGGTTTGGCATATTTGGATGCAATTTGGACAACCAGTCCAAGAAAAACCCATTAAATAAAAACATTAAATTTCATCGATTCCCGAAAAAGTTTGATTTGTGGAAACAGTGTTTAAATGCCATAAAAATAATATACAATATTAACGTAAAGACCGCTTCTGTTTCCTATAAACATTTTCTGGACAGTGGTTATAAGTTTAATTTAAAACACCAACGCAAAACTACAGCCCTAAATGTTATCAAGGACTGAAAGCATCTATTATCCATATTATACTTAACACTTTCTTCAATATTAAGTTTAATAAAATCGCACTATGTCCAGATATTTCTCTATTTTATTTGATAATATTACTATTATTCGTGTATTCTCACGGCAACTACTCATCAAGTGACGTCATGCGCGGGACGAACCAAAACTCGTATACGGGAGCATCCAGCCCTGAGTCGTATGCATCTCCAAGAATTGATAAATAAATGCAGAACGGGTCTACGTTCTTATTTCTAAAGCCCGTATTACAGTCTGCAATTACTTGCAGAAACTTTCTTGCATGCAACTTTCGTGCATGCAAGTTTTATTGCTGACTGTAAAACACTTTGCAATTCCAACCGAACTGGCAATAAAAATCGAGCAGGACCGATAATTTGAAACGGCAATAAACTTGCACGAAACGTCGCTATGCGCATGGCTTCGTGCAAGATTATTGCACGTAGAATTGCAAAGTGTAATGCGGGCTTAAGCGACGTTCTGCTATTCATTTTGTCAATTCTCTGACATGTGCATAAGTCTCGTATGTACCGTAGCGTTTTCGTCCTTTTCCCGTATTCAACCAGCAATATTGGATATGGGTGAATAATAGTTTTGGAACCCCGCTCAAACTCTGTTCTGGATTAGATTTAGATACAAATGACAAATACGCATGCGTGGAATTTTATACCCTTGCTTGTCTTGGAATCTATTGGACGTGTTTCGAACGTATCATAAATGTAACTAATAATTTTATCACCGCAAACGCCAAATTTTAAAAGAACTAGTTCAGGATTAGCACCGCAAAAACAGCTATTTAGAACGCTTGAGATTAACATATATTAACTAAACTAAATTTCTATATCACATTAAAATCAAATATGGGATCGATCAGGTTCAAAATCGTCTTCTAATAGCGGCGGGGGTAAAGAAGTTACATCAAAACCTTCAGCCATTTCAAACCTCTCGTCCTCCTCCCTTTCCATGCGATAAATATCAGATCCAGACTGAGAATCTCCGTCAGGAAAATAGCCCTCTTCCAACACTTCCGAGTATTGAATAGGGCTATCCTCGGCCAATACACCTTCGTATTGGAAATTTGAAGCCATCTCCTCCATATTTCTATTACGAATGTACTCATTGTACTCAGTGAGTCTGCAATCATGCTCAACGTAGTAATACTCATCTACGGTGCTTTGTTCCCTTTCCAGCTTTAATTTTCTTTGATTTTGTACTTGTCTTTTTCGTCTGTAACCCCTTCTTTCTCGTTCCGATTTACTTCTAGGCGATTCCACGGAGCTAGTGGAATCGTTTTCGCTAGGCGGACTCTTTGCCATGCAAACGCCTTTCGAGACCGGTTTTCTATGGCTTCTGGTTAAAGGAACTGTCGCAGTCTTATTAATTGGAATAGGGCTTGTGCCTGCTAGGGGCGTGGATTCTGAGCTTAAACTGCTAGAGTAGTATGGAGAACATTTCGCCAGTTTCAAAGGTACCTTAACTTGTCTATCCAAGCTTTTGGCTTGCGGTTGGGTTTTCTGCAAATACCTTTGTTTTTCCTGGTCATACCTCTGCGTATGAACAGTTCTTTGCTCGATTGAGCTGTCAGTATCGGATTGTATATTAACAGGTATCACTATAGGCCTTTCGGTGGATTTTGTAAAAAATATATTCTTGTCCACCCTTGAAGGAAGACTTGTTGAAAACATAGTCATCTCTTCTGAAGGAATATTTTTTGGGCTCTGTAGAGATTTTGTATCATGTATATTGACATCTTCTACTTCTAAGCTTGTGCCCATGCGGGACAAGCACTGTCTTTCAGGCATACTAGTGCTGAAAAATTGTTGCTGAGCGGTATCGGAATTTGACCAGTCTGAGATGGTTGGTATTAGGTCGGTTAAGGTACTATCTCCCGTTGACGTGGTGGAAGACAATTTTTGGAATTGAATGCTTTGCGCTTTTAATGTGTTACTATTACTACTAGACCATTCAGAAATAGACTGTGCTATATCCGTTAAAGAGTTTTCATCACTTTTTAATCCGGAACTGCTTTTAGTCGTACCGCTATTACTTGACAAATTTTGGAACTTAACTGTAGTGGTACTATTGGACCATTCAGATAAACTCAATGCAATAGACGTATCTTCAGAATGTGAGCTGTGGGTACATTTAGTAGGTTTTAGTGCATAACGAACTGTACCATCTTCCAAATTTGTACCCATTGAGCTCGTACAGTCTTCTTCGGAATAAGAACTATGGGAACCCCTTGGAGATTCAGGTTTTAGCTGGTAAGAATCGTCGGAACTACGTCTCATTACCGTTTGAGGTCTTAATTCATGTTTAGAATTATCAAAGGCATCAGTAAATACATCATCATTAGAGTTCGATAAATTTAAATCTTCGTCTGAATTTGACCCTTGCGTTTCCGATTTGCGCAAAGTTATTT